TCACTGAGACCACAAGAAGTGGAGTAGGCTCGATCATTATGGTCCGATTCTCTCCAATAACCTTCAATTAGAGCCGGATGCAATGAATGTAGATGAGGGGCTGTAGATTATTGTGTCATGAGAGCAAGAATAAAAACTCTCTCAGTAGGCACCGGGATGCCTATGACAATCAAAGGCCACCGTATCAGTGGGTAGGTTGAAGCGAACCTCAAAGAATTTTTCAACACCCATCCATACATGTTGTGAATCCTCAGACCATAATCCCAGCATGGTTTGATCATACAGAAAGAGCTCTCGGGCGGTATCAGCTATACACAGAAATTTGGAGCTCGTACATAGCAAGAGTCATAGCACGCAACCAGACCAACGCTTCAAAAGTTCAAGAGCACGATATGGCGAGAACATTCCCGAGTTGAACTATGCAAGAAAAACACAAGGCAATTCATTGAAAAAAAGCTCGAAAATCTCTAAAGATGCGCATCTCCTTTTGGGAGAAGGTATAAAAGGAATGAAAACACAATAACAGAACAACATCTTTTCGGGAATCATCTTTTTCGGATTTGTGAAGGAAATCGGAAACAGGAATAAATTCAATTAACAAAACACAAGCATTCTCTATGGAAAATTTTTAAGAGTTTCTGTGCACATACATATATCTTTTGGAAGAATTTAAAACAGTAATTAAAAACGATCACAGCCAAGATTTTTTTTGAGTTTTCGCGGGTTTTTTGAGAGACAAGGTGAAATGAAACAGAAAACAAGACTATCAACTGAACAAAAAAAATCGTCGTATGTGGCTAGGGGTCAATAGAGACACATGAAATAAACGATGTGATGAGTAACAGTTGAAATTGATTTCGACATGTTGGCATCACCATTTATTGACTATTTCTCGTTCATGAGATTCTCAAGCCGCAGAGAATAAATTGTGGAAGATCCCTGGTAACATGTGTGATATGCAAACAAACTTAGAGAATAAAATGAAAAGGGTGACTGGTTACCCAGAAGTAATAGGCAATCAAAAGTTTTTGTGAAACCGATGATAGTCAAAACCTTCAGCAATAATCCAAAGAGAAGTTAACTTATTAAATGACTGACAACTAAAGAAAAATGCCACCCAAGCCCATTTAGGATCGATGACTATACCACAAATGGTGGATCGATAATCGTAGTCTATATTCTCGTAAACAAAAAAAAGTTGAAGTCTCAGAAAAGATTTACTTCTCGGTCAAACTACTGCATCTGATTACCCTCGTGATCGACTAATATAGACCCTAAGAAAGAGAAAGATTAAAAAATTAATGAATGTTTGAGGTTTGAAAAACGATTTCGCAGAAACAAATGGTTTGGGAATCTTGAGATTCACCTATTTCGACCATAGTATGATCCCTGCTGTCTTTCTCAAACATTGGGTAAGCGATTTCCATGTTTTTGCAAGGATTGTTGATTGTGTAGAATAATAAAGATTGAATTGAAATCGAGTAGCAGATTAGACGAATGTTTACGAGTTATAATTCAAGATGTTTTTGGAGAAAGTGGGGTGGATGAGGAACAGAAAAGCAAACTGATGGGGCAGTATTTATATTGTGGTCAGTAGGGGGAAAGATGACTATTTCAGCACTCGATTTCATGGTCATCGTGTGAAGGAGACTTTTGCGGATGCTTATGAAGCCAAATCTACTGGACCATCCAGTCTACGTTGGGTCTGGTGAATTGAAAGGGCATTCCATATTGGCTCGAATAGTAGGAGACTTTAAGCTTGTAGGAGTGGTAGCCAGCCTTAATTGAGGCGATGCAAGTTCGTGAGTTGCGTAACTGCTTATCCCCTTCACTTTCAGTATTCATACTGACTACATATGTAAGTTGAAGGTACTCTTCGTCTTTCGCAGTGGGAGTGACTTAAGGAAGTCTCCATGAAAGTCTCTCCGAATCCTTAAGCCTCGATTAAGTCATCCGGTCAGATATGTCGACCCTCCATTGAAGTAGCCGTCTTGTGAGTTACTAGGTGGTGTGATCCAAGCAGCTTGGACTTGGTATCAGGTTCATAATGGATGGTCTTCTCCGGCTTCGGGTGCCAATTTGAACAAAGTAAACAGGGAAAATTCGTGTTGGCTGGTGATAACTTGAGTAAACCGAAAAGGAGAAAAGAAGGTAAAAGTATCAAGTATTATAAACTTATTGAAACTATATAGACCTTTGGTCATTACCAGTCCAGTAAAACATTCCCTGCGTAATCCAAAAAATTTTGGTCATCAACATGGAACTAGCTTGTCTATATTGAAAAGAATAACACCGACGTCACGATGGTAAATATCGGTGATTCGCAAGGTTCCCTAACCAATGACTTCTTCAAAATTTATTTAAACCTTGACCATTCAGCTGTGTCTGTTTCTGGGGAAAAATATCAGTCGATCAAGACAGTAATCAGATCCAGTTTTTGTTTCAAAAGTATGAAGTAACTCATGTTTTCCAATCCTTTGAACTTCTTTTTCTTTACGCAAATACAGATTGCGAATATCAATCGACCATACGTGGTATGGTGATTGATTTCAAATGCCTCAGATGGCATCTTTTTTGACTTGTCAGTGCGTTCATTAGTGTCATTCTTCTCGATGGTTGCTTGGAATTTCGACTACAATCGGAAGAACAAACCTTTTACCTATCATGTCTGGTTAAAAATTCGCCTTTTCTTTTCATTCTCTTCATATGTGTGGCTATCACACATGCTTCCAGTGATCTTCGATGGGTTCCTCTCTGAGACTCCGAGTTG